TCCCTCTCTCCCTCCCCTCTTTCCCCTCTCTCTCTGTCTTCTCTCTTATCTGTCCCCCTTCTCTGTCTCCCCTCTCTCCTCTTCTCTCTCTCTCTCCTGCCCCTCTTTCTCCTCTCTGTCTGCCTCTGTTCCTTAACGAGGACCCGCTGCTTCTTGCGACCCGACGGGGGAATCCAGCCCTTTTTACTTGAGAGGGAGGGATTCCCCCAGTCCGGTGCCACTCTCCTCCCGTTCTTGGGAACCCCCTACCCCCACGTCCGCGTGAATGGTCCCGAGGCTGGTGAGCAGCGCACTTTTCCCGGGTCGCCGTTCCCTTCCTCGTGGAAGCCCTGGGTGCCCTGCACGTCCGATTCGGTTGCGTTGTATTTGGGTGGCTGCCGCGAGTTTGGCGGTAGGCAGTTGCTGCAGGGCACGACTTCCAAGATGAATAGCAAGCTTATTCGTAGGGGTTTCTGCTGTGGTTCTGTAGTTGGCAAGGTTTGTGTGTAATCGAGTGGAGAAGCGGGGGTTCAAGAATTATATTTGGAATCTGAGGGCTTAGTTTGGAGTGAAGGAAATCCAAGACTCAGTGATGTGATTTCGGGAAGAAAAAAGAAAAACAAAACAAAAAACGATGTAGACCGGAATCCTAGTGTTTCCCCTACTTTTAATTTTTTTTCTTTTTTTCTTTTCTTTTTTTTTTTTTTTTTTTTTTGTCTTCCTGGGTCAGATTCTGACAGGTTGAGATGGTGCACGGGAAGGGACTAAATTGGATGAGACTTGCTTTTATTACTAGGTACAAACAAATCTTCGAGCCTTCTACTGAAGACTGCTTGATTTAGCTGCTGAGTTTTATGAAAAGAGAACACCCACTGCCCCCTTCCTCCTTTTGGCAACTGGATGGCCTTTCTATAGTGTCTTTGCAGATATTTGTAGCATTTTATTGAATTCCCAATCAAAGCCCTTGGGGCAGAAAAACTAGTCTAAATCAGTTGCAGGGAAGGACTCTCCCTCATCAGAATATGCAGATAATGTGCATCTTTTCCTGCTGTAATTGATTCCGTGTGTGAAAATTCAATTGTAGTTCACGATTCATAGAGCTGATCTTGTTGATTTTGGAAGACTCTGGCTGGGGATTGTAAAAGTGTATATGCTATCCCTTATTGCCCCTTAACTATTCATTCTGCTCATATTTTTGAAAAGTAATGGAGTAGTGAAAGTGAAATTTTGTAGAAACAAAAATACATCAGCTATTGGTGGAAACTGAAAGGCCTAAGATGTTTAAAGGTAAACAATCAGATTTCTTTTTAAAGAGCACAATTTGCTTATTGATGCTTTCCCTATATATTTAGTGAATCATCTTGGTCAATCAGTTTGGTCAATGTGACGTAGTGGATAGGTGCTGTACAGAGTGCTTTGAAAGGTACAGCTTTTTCAAACTACTCTGATAAGGATAGCAGTAAACGGTTGAAAACATGTATGCCACTATTGTATAAAAGTCGTCTATGAATTTGGGACCTAGATGCTAAAGGAATTTTGTGTTCAAACTGATTAGGAGCCTATGCATTTACCTGAAGAAAGACTTTAGTACATTTAACAGGGTCAAGAAGAAACTGGCATTTTAAAGGGGAGTTGAAAGTCAGTGGCAGCAACCTTATAAATAAATATGTGGTTGAAGATGAGGCTCTTGAGCAGAATAAAAATGCAACATAAAGGCCTTGAAAAGCCCAGGTGGAAGAGGTAGGTGGCATAATGTCAAAGAGAGAAGATAACTTAGGCAGTGGAATTAAAGACAATTTAGAGTAGCTGTCTCATGGGAGTTGAGTGCAGTAGTCTGGGGGAATGTCTAAGCCAGCCAGAAGGACGCAGCTGAAGGATGACAAGGAAGCTGCAGAGGTGGTAACAGAGGGCAACAGAACTTGATAAAGTGGGTATTTGAAATCAGAAATAACTCAGGATTCTTCTTGAAAAGTTACCAGCATACAGTGTTACGTACTATGATAGACCCTAAAAGCATGGAGGAAAAAAAATCAGTAGACATAGCACTAGCTGCCAGTCTATGAATACTTGATTTTATTATGAACAACTTAATTCTATGGTTTGACATTCCATGTGATCTTGGACATTGGAAAAAAAAATCTTCCACAAGTGAAGCTGTGTTGTGTAACTCTATGTATTTTAGAACATTTTTATACTTAAGATTAGAAGACCACACTAGAAACTGTGATTTTTACAAGTTATAGTTTCTGGTTGGTTTCTTTTATGTTTGTTTTTGTTATTAGAGACAGGATTACCTATATAGCCTAAGCTATCCCTGAAGTTGTCCTGCCGTAGTCTCCTATGTGTTGGGTAGCAGGTGCTCACCATAACATCTAGCTAGTTTGTGTCTTTTTTTTTTTTTTTTTTTTTTTTTTTTTTTCTCTCTCTCTCTCTCTCTCTCTCTCTCTCTCTCTCTCGTGTGTGTGTGTGTGTGTCTCCATCATTTGTGATCCTCTGCTTCCCAAGTGCTGGTTTGTATATGTATCCAGACATAACTACAGGAACCAGGATAATGAAAAGGAACCAGGGAGATAAAGGAAAAGAAAGAACCTGAGAGAGAAAAACAGTAGGAAACAGGTGTTACAAAGGGAGATATGGATAAAAATGGGATTATTTAAATGGGAAGGGGGAGGGAGGGTTATACAAGGAACTTTGAGGATGACGGGAAAGAAGGAGCTCAAGAGAGGTTGGGACCATAGGAGAAGGGTATTATTAAGGGAGAAATGGGAAAGATAGGGGCACTTTAAATGGGGAAACCATGGTGGAAAGGTTAGACAGTGAGAAAGAGGAATAATGCCTAGCTAGTTTTAAAAAACCAGAGGGAACCATATTAGTCTAACCGAAACCATGGTGGAAAGGTTAGACAGTGAGAAAGAGAAATAATGCCTAGCTAGTTTTAAAAAACCAGAGGGAACCATATTAGTCTAACAACCTACTGGCAAATTATACATACAACTAGTTCAAGGAACAAAATATATGTCTACTTAAGGTTTATTGGAGAACATTTGGTTTTTGCTCAAGCTTTATCTGCATAGCACATGGTAATTAAAAGTACCAGACTGGTGGAACTAACCTTCTTGGATGTTTAACAGCCATACTTAGAGGCCTCTACTAATCTGGTCTGTGGGACTTAAAAGACAGTTTTTGCTCCTTGCCCTCCAAGGTTGATTAAGTTCCAGGTGACTATGGAGCATCTCTCAAAATGTTCTGTAACTGTGGTGAGTCACCTTTCCTCTTGTTCAGGGAGGCCATGGAGACCCCACCAGATGGACTTGAACCAGTGTCTAGTCTACAAAGAGGAGGGTCAACACATAGGAAACATTTCCTCCACGCTTCCAAGTGAAGCCAGCCACGGTTGAGCAGGACCTTTGACTTATCTTCACATAGATGGAACTGGTCAAAGAAAGAAGCCAGGGGCTCCTTCCAAGCCTGTGTGATCCCTAAGGAACAGATCCTCAAACGACCTTAAGAGTAAAAATAAATTGGTTTATCTGGGCCAACTATATGGTCTTAAACACCCAAAAAGAAAGTATAACCAAAGATTAAAGTGATCAGTATATTTCTTTAAGAGTCCATGTGTGGGGCTGGAGAGATGGCTCAGCTGTTAAGAACACTGACTGTTCTTGCAGAAGACCCAGGTTTGAATACCAGCACCCACATGGCAACTAACAGCTGTCTCTAACTCCAGTTCTAGGGGATCCGACAGCCTCGTCTGTCCTCTGCGGGCATTGCATGACACGGGTACACTTACTTACATGCAGGCATAACACTCATACACATAAAAAATAAAAATAATAAATAAAATATTTTTTAGAAAGA